ATAGATAAATAGATAGATAGATAGATAGATAGATAGATAGATAGATAGATGATAGATAGATAGATAGATAGATAGATAGATAGATAGATAGATGCCTTATAGATAAACCACTGTTTGAAAGACAAAACCTCTGTGTGTACTGTATTTTGCTCCTGTCTCAAAATAGAAGTCATACTGTGCACACTCTGACATCATTGAAATTTCAAATGGTCACTGAATGAACTGTTGTAAGTTGAGGACTACCAGTACATATCCTTTGGGGATCCATCTATCATAGATAAAAGACGCAGGATGTGCATATTTTTAAGTGGGAGAAACAAATACAAGCAGATTCTACTCACTCTGAGGATCTGAGCTATGACAGGATTTTGTGAATCATGCATTTTGCGAGATAAAATATTCACAGATTTCCTTTACACTGTCTAAACCAATGTTTCTCAACTTTGGTAACTAATTCTCCACACATCTTAAAGTTGCCAAGATTGATAGCATAGAACCTTAGAAATTAGAGAATCTTAGAGAGCATAGAATCTTTATGATTCTAGCATAGAATCTTAAAGCTTGATGGAACCTTCTAGAACAAAGGTGGCGAATGATGGCCCTTTTAGGACTTGTGGACTTCAGCTCCCCCAGTGGCTCAGGAATTCTGGGAGTTGAAGTCCACAGCTCATAAAGGGGCCATCGTTCCCCACGCCTGATCTAGATCACGGGTGTCCAACTCCCCAATAAAAGAGATACTCACCTCTTTTACAGACCCGGCAAAGACATATAGAGAGGACCACAATTGCCAGCACCATCAAGAAAGCAACAGCAGCCACTATGATCACTGCCCAGACTGGAATATTAGGTCCTACAAAAAGATTCATCAGGAAAGAGTTCAATGAGCAATCTGGCCCCTTTGTCTCCATCACTATGTCTAATGTAACCAATTCAGTCAGTCAGTCAGTCAGACATTCGGTCAGTGAGTTAGTCAGTCGTTCAGTTGGTCAATCGGTCAGTCATTCCATCAGTCAGTCAGTCAGTCAGTCAGCTGGTCAGTCAATCAGCTGGTCAGTCAGTCAGTCTGTCAGTCAGTCTGTCTGTCAGTCAGTCAGTCAGTCAGTCAGTCAGTCAGTCATTAAGTCAGCTGGTCAGTCAGTCAGCTGGTTATTCATTCAGTCAGTCAGTCAGTCAGTCAGTCTGTCTGTCAGTCATGTTACATGGCTGCCCAAATTGGAAGAGAAACTCTGGGCAATTTATAATTTAAAAAGTGAAACTAAATCAAATGTTACAATATCTTTTACTATCCCATATCTTTCTGACGTAAACAACAGCAAGAGAATGTTGGAGTCATAGTAGCGACTTAGGCCAAGCTAATAAATTGCAACTGGTTCATATTTATGACGGTTGCAGTGTCCCCGGGGGGTGGTGGTGGTGGTGGTGGTG